CTCTCTCTCCTCCCTCCTCTCCTCGTCTCTCTCTCTCTCCTCCTCTCTCTCTGTCTCTCTCTCCTCCTCTCTCTCTCCTCCCTCTCTCTCCGTCTCTCCATCTCTATCTCTCGCACTACTGCATCAAGGCACTGACAGCGGAACCCTGGCATGCGTGCGAACCCCGATATTTGTGAGTACACAAAAACAACATGGCGGCCGGTGGCTACGATCTACAAACCGGAAGCGAAAAAACGGCGCGTCGGCCGTCGTGCCGAGCCGGACGGCGCGACGGACGGCGCCGCGAGGGCGCCACGTGTACGCAAGACGCGGAACTACGGTGCGACTACAGCGTGCAGTGTGCGCGTGCAGAGCATGCGCCCTCTGGTGGTGGCCCTTGGCACCAGCTCGTCCCTCAGTAGTATTTCGTCTTGTGATAAGGCTTGAAAAAAAAAAGAAAAAAAAAACGGCCGTCAAAACAAAATGGCGACTAATAACGCGGGAGCGAGAGCTGGTAACTAGTGGCGGTATCTAGTTACGTCGCGCCGCCCCCTACGCTCGCTACGGTGCCGTTTACATGCGTTGCGACTCTCGTGCGGGGAACGGTGAGGCAAGCGGGTCTCGTCAGCGGGGCGCGAAATTGTTTACCGTGTCGCGACGCGTCCGTCTGGTCACCGCGATATCACAGGCATCTGCTACGATGCGCGACAGAGGTGCGCCTCAATTCTCTTTCGGAATTTTGTTAAATAAAAGATAAATAAAAAGGTATATAAGCTGATTGGGTTACGGCTACGGTTAGGATTGCACTTAAGGTAGCTGTTACGGTTAGGGTTAGGGTTAGGGTTGAACGTAAGGTAGCGGAATTAGGGTTAGGGTTATGATTAGGGTTAGGGTTAGGGTTAGGGTTATGATTAGGGTTAGGGTTAGGGTTGAGCTTAAGGTTGGGGTGTGTGTCAAGCCCGCATGCAGTGCCCTCTATATTCCACTGCGTGCAGACCATCCACAGATGCACTCTTGTTTGGGGTTACTTGACTTTACGAGAGGGTGTGGGTGGTGGGTAGAGTGTTCAGGGGATGTACATTTATCAGTACGGAGGAATAGAATTAAAATTTACTTTGTGCCATTGCGAATGTGGTGTAAACCCACCCACGTGTTAAATCAGTCATGCTGAGTGACGTCATAGATTTTTGAAGCTTCGGTGTCTGAGCTTATACATCTAATGACATGCTATGACAATTAAAGCCGTGACTAAACTTTCCTGAAATAGCATACATGCTCCCGGAATCACACTCCATTTATAACACGATATCTTACAAGCACCCTTCATTCCCATACACACACACGCACACACACACACGCACATGTACACACACACACTCATGCACCCACACACACACACATGCACGCACACACACACATGCACGCACACACACACGCGCAAATCTAAGCCAAGTGGCACCGCACAAACCACAACCCTAGAGAGCACCACTCGCGGGTCTCTCTTCCATCACAACAACAACACCAACAACAACAACAACAACAACACCAACACACGTACATTGAGCACCCGGATAGGCTCATAGGGTCTATGTCCCCCAGGGTACTATCGGAGGGTACCCTGGGTACGGTTCGGTATATCGGAACGTACCCTGGTAACTATTTGATATGGTTAGGGTTAGGGTTAGGGTTAGGGAGTAGGCGCAGGCGACTCCCTAGACTCGTTAGTGGAGTAGGCGAGGTACGGTCTGGCATATTAGATAGTACCAGGGTACGTTCCGATATATCGAACCGTACCCAGGGTACCCTCCGATAGTACCCTGGGGGACATAGACCCTCTCAGCCCCAGATAGAAGAACGTGCTGTCCAAAGGGGAGGTAAAAACACACGAACACTGACACCCACAACTGACACTGGGTTACGTTAGTGACCAACAGACAATATTACACACGGCACCGTACATAAGTTATATTATTACTTATGGATCCCGATATCCATATCTATACATACATTACATCAAGAGCTAACAATACCTTATATCTTGTATACCTTATGTGCCTTATATACCTTGTATACCTGGTATACCTTATATACATTGTATTATTAGGTCATGATTACATCAACGTATCAAGGTATTATTAGCTCTTGATTACATTAACGTATCAAGGTATTATTAGCTCTTGATTACATCAAGGTATCAAGGTATTATTAGCTCTTGATTACATTAACGTATCAAGGTATTATTAGCTCTTGATTACATTAACGTATCAAGGTATTATTAGCTCTTGATTACATTAACGTATCAAGGTATTATTAGCTCTTGATTACATCAACGTATCAAGGTATTATTAGCTCTTGATTACATCAACGTATCAACGTATTATTAGCTCTTGATTACATTAACGTATCAAGGTATTATTAGCTCTTGATTACATTAACGTATCAAGGTATTATTAGCTCTAGATTACATTCATTACTAGAGCGGTGACTTGTGATGCGACGAGCGCGCACTCTCGCGTGAGAAACAGATAGATAGATGAGAACAGTATGAGGGCTGATATGATGGGTTAGGAGATGTGCGATGCGTACGTTATGTATACATCGTCATCTCGCTACACGCCACAAAAACCTCCCACCGCCAACCCCTTGATACGATTACGATGCATAGACGACCCCTCGATACGATGTGCGGACGACCCCTCGATACGATTACAATGCGCGGACGACCCCTCAATACGATTACGATGCACAGACGACCCCTCAATACGATTACGATGCACGGACGACCCCTCGATACGATTACGATGCACGGACGACCCCTCAATACGATTACGATGCACAGACGACCCCTCAATACGATTACGATGCACGGACGACCCCTCGATACGATTACGATGCATGGACGACCCCTCGATACGATTACGATGCACGGACAATCCCTCGATACGATTACGATACACGGCCGACCCCTCGATACGATTACGATGCACAGCCGACCCCTCGATATGGTTACGACGCACAGACGACCCCCAAACAGTAACAATAGAATCAACCACCCCACAACAACAGTAACATCGTGGTGTGCATGTTGTGTGAATGACGTATAGTGAGCGCTGTGACGATAGGATTATACTGTGTGCGGATGCCACAGGGAAGCTAACAGACAGACAGACAGACCGACAGACAGTGATAGATTCTTCTCAACTACCTACACTACTAACACATGCATGGTATTGCCTATCTCACCTGTCATTGTCACATGTCACCTCATATTGTTAACACCTGTCACTATACTTCATTAACACCTGTCACCATGCCTCGTTAATATCTGTCACTATACCTTGTTAACACCTGTCACCATGCCTCGTTAATATCTGTCACTATACCTCGGTAATATCTGTCACTATACCTCGTTAATATCTGTCACTATACCTCCTTAACACCTGTCACTATATCTCGTTAACACCTGTCACCATGCCTCCTTAACACCTGTCACCATGCCTCCTTAACACCTGTCACTATATCTCGTTAACACCTGTCACCATGCCTCCTTAACACCTGTCACCATGCCTCCTTAACACCTGTCACTATACCTTGTTAACACCTGTCACCATGCCTCCTTAACACCTGTCACCATACCTCGGTAATATCTGTCACTATACCTCCTTAACACCTGTCACTATACCTCCTTAACACCTGTCACTATACCTCCTTAACACCTGTCACTATACCTCCTTAACA